ATTTTGATATATATGCCCTCATCATTTTTTGTTGTTGTTTATGTATTTTGAGAGAGGGAGAGAGAGCACAAGCAGGGGAGGGGGGCAGAGAGAGAGAGGGACAGAGGATCTGAAGTAGGCTCTGGGCTGACAGCAGAGAACCTGACACGGGGCTCGAGCTCACAAACCGTGAGATCATGACCTGAGGCGAAGTCTCAGGCTCTGACTGAGCCACCCAGGCTCCTCATCCCCCATCATTTTTGAGCATATCCTTGCCTTTTGGTCTTATAAGATGTCACACACTCATCTTTATGCTTTCCCTGCCCTAGCCCTGTAATCAACCATTTCTCAAAGGAGCCCCAGAACCAATAGCATTTACCGGTTAAGTTTCTAAGACTCAGATGGATTAAGTGAACTGGCCAGGGGTCCATATTCTCTAGCTACAAATCTGTGATTCTCATATGTAAAATTATGGTCCAGGAATCAAGTATAAAACCTGGGAAGAAGTCCATGTGAAGTCATACAACCTCTTGAGACTGGACTATGTCTGTCTCACAAGGTCAGTAGCATGCAAAGGAGCCTAGAAACAAGCCTTCAAAAACAGCATCATAATCTTGTGCTTTGTGGGGCTCCACGGGGGCTCAGTTAGTTGAGCATCTGACTCTTATTTTCAACTCAGGTCATGATCCTAGGGTCATGGGATCAAGCCCCACATCAGGCTTTGCACTGGGCCTGGAGCCTACTTGAGGCTTTCTCTCTCTACCTCTGTCCCTCTCTCCTGCTTGTGCTCTCTCTCTTTCTCTAAAAAAATAAAATTTAAAAAAATAAATAAAAATTTTAAAAATATTTATTAAAAAAATCTTGGGGTGCCTGGGAGACTCAAGTCGGGTAAGCATCCGTCTTGGGTTCAGGTCATGATCTCGCGGTCTGTGGGTTCAAGCCCCGTGTCGGGCTGTGTTGACAGCTTGGAGCCTGGAGCCTGTTTCAGATTCTGTGTCTCCCTCTCTCTGCCCTTCCCCTTTTTGCACTCTCTCTCTCTCAAAAATAAATAAACATTTAAAAAAATTTTTAAAAATCGTGTGCTTTGTAAGGTGCACAAAGGTACACCTTATTTTCTTCTTGGGTATTCCCCTTAGTTCTCCCTTAATAAGTTTAATAAAGTATACTTCCCATTCTGATTCAACAGGGCTAAAGGGACTCAAGGACTCATAGGGATTGGTGGCCACACTTGGATTTGAGTATGTAAGGGGCAGGTGTAACTCAGGGGCAGGATTTGGCTACCTGTTTGTCCCTTTTGGAGAACTGTCCTAGTGCTCAAGTTTGGGGTATTTGTAATAAAAGAGGAAATTCCCTTATATAGGTTTCTCTATCTGAAAATAGAATTTTCCCATGAAACCTTTTGTAAGCCAAAATGGCATAAGGCAAAGAAGTGATTACCATTAATTTATATGGGAAAAGTGTGTGCATTCCCAAAATGCCAAAAATAGCCTGTCTTCGGCTTTTCTGATACCTTAAGATACATCTTGCTAATGGGTGTACAAACTAAATCAAAATAAAGCACAGATGGAGGAGCCTAGCTGGCTTAGTCAGTGGAGCATGTGACTCTTGATCTTGGGGTTGTGAGTTCAAGGCCCACATTGGGCTTAGAGTTTACTTAAAAAAAAAAAAAAAAAAAAAAAAAACTATTAAAAGATAAGGGGCACCTGGGTGCCTCAATTGGTTAAGCATCCAACTCTTGATTTCAGATCAGGTTATGATCTCACAGCTTTTGAATTCCAGCCCTGTGTTGGTCTCTACGCTGACAGCACAGAGCCTGCGTGGGATTCTCTCTCTCCCCATCTCTGCCCCTCCCCCGCCCGCTCTCTCTCAATACTAAGTTAGTTAATTAAATTAAATAAATAAAACACCGATGGAGATACAGTTCTGCTGAGATGTTGAATGTACTTCCCTGGGAAGCAGTTGGACGGTACCACTCTTGCCGCTCAGGGTACACGCACTGCACCTGTAAAGGCTTGTTGCAGAATAAACGCTGAATACTATTTTTACTTTTCACCTTACTTTTTAATGTTTATTTTTGAGAGAGAGAGAGAAAGCGTGTGTGAGCATGGGTGGGGGAGGAGCTGAGAGAGAGAGAGACAGAATCTGAAGCAGCTCCAGGCTCCAAGCTGTCAGCACAAGAGCCCGACACAGGGCTTGAACTCAAACTGTGAGATCATGACCTGAACCGAAGTCAGACGCTCAACTGACTGAACCATCCAGGGGCCCTTACTTTTCACCTTTTAAAATAAAAGTGAAAATCCTCTTTAAATTTCTTTTAGTTAGCACTGACAGGTACTAATGTAGGCCTTTTATAAAAGTGAAATGGCATAACCTGAACTTTCAGAAAGTGGAGGATACTTGTTCCCTCTTATATACTGCAGCTTTTTGGATAGAGAGGAGTTAGCTGTGGACCTCAATATTTGCCACTAAGAACAGCCATAGCACACTCTCAAGGCTAATTACCTGTTCTTGGTGAACTCCAGCATGGGTACTTCCAAGGATTCCTTCCATCCTCTTTCCTCCCTTCCTTTACATTTACTTTATTTTAACCTAGATACATGACTCAGAAATAGGAGATCTCTTCTCCCTCCTCCTGTTCCCCTCACCCTTGCTGTTCTGTTCTTTCTGATGAGCATGTTACCCCTGGAGGTCTACATATGTGGATCTCTGAGCGCTAGTGATGTTCAAATGTGCACTTTTTTGAGGGGCTTATGTCTAGGAGCAAGTGATACGTCCTTGCCTTTGGGACACAGTCCCTGCCTTTTTAAAATAAGAAGGTAAAAAATAAAATGAGAAGGTAGACTTAGGTGATTTCCCAGTTCCTTTCCAGCTCTGACTCTAGAATTTCTTCTGTCCCACTGAGAAAACTTTTATCTGAGTCTACACTTGAATCCACACCTATAGGTATGCATGTGGGAGCAGGGAGGTTGAGGGAGTCAAGTAGATATTCTCTCTACTTCAGCACATCCATAGCTGATAATAGTATAAGAGGAGATGAGAAAAAGGGAGGTGGCAAGCCAGAACTGCCACCACATAAGCTTGGACTCTGGGCCTTGTGGGAAGTTACCTGGTTTGTCTGTTCCCTGCTATCAGGGCTAATTCTAGGATCACAGCCTTTATGTTGGGTGGCCCTTAACTAGACACAGCACAGGATGTTGTTTCCCAGTCTAGCTTGATTCTTCTTGTTGGACAAGAAACTACCAGGGCATTTGACTTCCTTTTGGAGGATTGCCTGAGTGTGGCTTATTTAAGAAAAGTCTGATCTGTTAACTCTCTCTTTGCATGTGATATATGATGTGTTTGTTGTTATTCTGCTCTGCAGCTGAAGGAATGTATCCGAGCATTGGATCAGGAACACAGCCACACTCCCTTCAGGCAAAGCAAATTAACTCAGGTAAAGTTAAATGTGAGCTTTGAGTTTGTTCTCACTTGTTCTTTCATTCATTTGTTCATTCAGCAAAGCATCCACTGCCAGCAATGCATGATGCTAAGCTTCGGGGTCCAGGGAAGGAAAGGGTCACATTCTTTCCAGGAGCTCATTCTTTCCAGGAGCCTGGAATGGGCTCATTCCAGGATGCCCATTCTAGAGAGGGGCATCCTCAGGCAGAGATGCCTGTGGTGGGAGGCAGCTGGGCATTTTCGGGGCAGTGGTGCTCTTCTGGTCATCACTCAACAGCTTTTTGCCAATTTCTAATATAAAGAAATATTTTTTATTTAGTGGAGTCTCTTGAGCCTTTGAAGGGAGGTTGGTGTAGTTGTACTAAGTACTTTCTTAGCTGTAAGACTTAGACTAGTGTTTCAAGATAAAAAATAACAGCTGGAGTTAAAAAGAATGAGATAGATGTATTTTTGAAGAGTTTATTTTGGGGCGCCTGGGTGGCTCAGTCACTTGAATGTCTGACTCTTGATTTCGGTTCAGGTCATGATCCCAGGGTTGTGGGATCAAGCCCCGATCGGGCTCTGCACGGAGTGTGGAGCCTGCTAAAGATTGTATCTCTCCTTCTCCTCCTCTCCCCTGTTCACATGTGTGCGTGTGCTGTCTCTCTTAAAAAAAAAAAAAAAAAGTTATTTTTAAGTAATGTCTATATCCAACATGGGGCTTGAACTTAAAACCCTGAAATCAAGAGTCACATGCTCTACCAACTGAGCCAGCCAGGTGCCCCGGATGAGCTAGATTTTTGACAGGTTCTGATAGGAAAGATGACCAAGATCTACAGTATAAAAATATGTTATGAGACAAAAACTACACAAAAAAATTCTGCATGTGTTAACTGATTATTCTGAGTGTTAAAACTATAGGTAATTTTTTCCTCCATTTTTCTGTCATGAAACTGTGCTTTATTAACAGAAAATGCTAGTAAGTCAGCATTGTAATAGCTATACAAAAGTGGCCCATGGAGGGGTCTCCCTACATATAAACTGCTGTGAAGGCAGTTATGGGTGCTTCTGATTCCCTTCTGCACCAAGTCCTGTGCCCAGTGGAGAATGGACTAGGGTAGAAGGCAGTTTATGAGATCTTTGTATTTTGGGAGAGGTTTTCAGTCTGTGCAGCTATCCTAATGGCTCCACAGGGCCTGTGGGAGAACCTATAACATAACTCCTTAGTAGTCGGAACTGGTTAGATGATGTCTTCTCAAACATTTCAGCCAGAAACTTAGAAAACCTTTCTTATGGGTGATTCTGACATTAGTTGTTATTTTTTTTTTTTTAATGTTTATTTTTGAGAGAGAAAGAGACCATGTGAGCAGGGGAGGGGCAGAGAGAGAGGAGGACACAGAATCTGAAGCAGGATCCAGGCTCTGAGCTGTCAGCACAGAACCCAACATGGGGCTCGAACTCACGTCCTGTGAGATCATAACCTGAGCTGAAACCAGATGCTTAACTCACTGAGCCACCCAGGTGCCCCTTGGCTCTGTTATTTTTTAAAACAAGTTCACCATCCCCAGAAAATGTGTTCCTACTTAATTAAATAATTCAGGGGTACCTGGCTGGCTCAGCTGGTAGAGCATGTGACTCTTGATCTCAGGGTTGTGGGTTCAAGCCCCATGTTGGGTGTAGAGGTTATTTACAAACAAAATCTTTAAATAATAATAGTGATTCAGACCATATATACAAGTACAAAGAAGATGGTAGGAGGTACCAGAAAATCCCACCTCCCAGTGATAATCACTGCTATGTTTTGGTGGACATCCTTCCAGACATTTCTCTGTCCATATATCTACATGTAGATCTATTTACATAGTTATGGAGTAATATGCCTTTTCACTCAGATTAAGTTTTAGATCTTCCTGTGTACCTAAGTACAGCTATACATAATTTTTTAATCATTTATTTTTGAGAGAGAGAGTGCAAGCACGAGCAGGGATGGGGCAGAGAGGCAGGGGGGTGGGAAGAGAGAATTCCAAGCAGGCTCAGTACTGACAGCACAGAGCCTGGCATGAGGCTTGATCTCACGAACTGTGAGATCATGACCTGAGCCAAAATCAAGAGTTAGAAGCTTAAGCAACTGAGCCACCCAAGTGCCCCACATAATTATTTTTAATGGTTGTATTATATTCAGTTAACGATTTGTTCCCTACTTAAAAATGCCTAGATTTTCCAATTTTTATTATTATGTTGTAATGCATATCCTATATATATATATATATATATATTTTTTTTTTTTTTTTTAATTGAACAGTTCTCTTTAGGATAACATTCTGGAAGTGTGCACTTTTTTTATGTTTTCATTTAAGCCAAACTGTCTTCCTCAGTAAAAGAAAGTACTTCATGGTACATGCTACATGAGTAGTGTAGCAATGTAGAAAAGTACCCATTTCCCTTGACCCTCACTAGGGCAGGCATCATGAGTCTTAATCTTATGGGTGAAAAATATTAGTATTTTTTTTTTCCAACATTTATTTATTTTTGGGACAGAGAGAGACAGAGCATGAACGGGGGAGGGGCAGAGAGAGAGGGAGACACAGAATTGGAAACAGGCTCCAGGCTCCGAGCCATCAGCCCAGAGCCCGACGAGGGGCTCGAACTCACGGAGCGCGAGATCGTGACCTGGCTGAAGTCGGACGCTTAACCAACTGCGCCACCCAGGTGCCCCAAAATATTAGTATTTTTAATGGCTTGTTTGTATTTCTTTGGTGGTGAAGTGAGTACTTAACATGGTTGATCATTTGTATTTTTTCTTTGTAAACTGCCTTTTTGTAGGGGATGGGGAGCCCAGTGTCCTGCCCACAATAAGTAGTCAATATGTCCCTTGTTAGTTGACTTCGTTGACTTGACTTCTGTTTTGGACAGGTCCTGAAGAATTCTTTCATCGGTGATGCCAAAACATGCATGATTGCCAACATCTCGCCAAGCCACGTGGCCACTGAACACACTCTGAATACCTTGCGTTATGCTGACCGGTGAGTTGGTCTCAGGTAGCAGGTCGTGTGTACAGGTCTCATACACACATAGGGGTCTGATCTTGAGCTCCAGAAGCCTGTTCTTGAGGCAGTGATCCTAGTACCGAAGGGGAATGTGCAGTTGGTAATTTGAAGAATGTGACCTGGTAGGCCTCGCCATTTTACAAGTGTGAATGTGACAAGAGGAAGAGGACACATTCCCCGGTTCAGGAGACAACTCCATTGGTGATTTTTAAATGGCTACTGGGAAATGAAATTTCTTTGGAGTTGAAGGCTCAAGGTTTTCTTCCTGCTAGCCTCAGCCCTAATAGTAAGGGATAGAATACATGTTACTTGTCAAAGCAGAGACACTTAGAACTTTGTAGGTCCAGAAGAGAGCAACCCAGATATAACATGTTACAGAAGGATAAATTGAGCCCAGAGAAGGGCAGGAACTTTAAAAGGGCTCATTGGGAATTGGTGGTAAAGCCAGCACCTTTGACTATATATTTGGGGTGACTTTGATATCTGCCGGGGTCCCCCCAACCCCACCCCATGTCTTACTCTGTGGTCACATATGTTTCTTACCATGGATGAAGACGCTACCATTTCCATTCTTTCCTCTGGCTGCTTTGCTGCTTGGTCCTGTCTTACATCTTTTTCTGTGGTCTCCCAGAAGCTGTCTCCTCTCCAAGGTTAACAAACTATTTGAGGGAAAGCTTTTCTTTTCTTTTTCTTTTTCTTTTTCTTTTTTTTTTTTTTTTTTTTTTTTTTTTTTTTTTTTTTACTACTGTTGAGGAATCTTTAGTATCCATGGCATTTTATGAAATTCATTGGGAAGGAAAAGTGAGGTATTATTTAAGTTCAATGAAAACAGGAAACCTTATCTTTTTCTCTACCATATCTATTGCTCAGTGCTTTACCTGGTAGACGCACAGTAAATATTTGTGAATGAAAGGAGGAACTCTTCCTGGGTGTCAGGGTGAGGCACTCTGTGTACCATCTCATTTAGATAGGAGAGATACTTGACACAGTGGTTACAAGAGCTCTGGAGTCCAGGCTATCTGGGCCAATATCCTACTTCTGCCTCAAAATAGCTGAGTGGTCTTGGGCATACGTTTTGGGTCCAGTTTCCTTATCTGACAGGGGATATTAGCATCTACATCTTACAACAGTTACGTGGAATCAGTGAGGATAATATGTGTGAAGGGCTTACCAACATGCTGGGCACACAGTGACTACTCAATATGTTAATTTAATTTATGTGTTAATTTAACCAATGATAATACTAATAGGTCCCCAAAATAGGTTTCTTTTATTGCATGATTTCCTAATGCCTGCTCACTAGCACTGCTAGAGGAAAGGCTACTTCATGAACTGAGATCAGATAGAAGATATGAGATGATCCAAACTTGTTTCCAAAAACCCAGTATGGCTGGAAATTCTTTACCCCCATGTATCCATTACCCAGCTTCAACAGTTATTAACAGTAAGCTGAACTTGTTTCATAACCCCACTCACTCTCCAAATCATAGACATTGTTATCAATTGCTTAGACTAATAACTTCACTAGAAGCAGAGAACAAGACCATCTCCTCACTTAGTGACTCAGTAAAGGAAGATGAAAATAACCCTTTCTCATAGGGGATGTATTAAGTATAATTGCAAAATTATTTGAAATAATTTTGGCTTTAAAGAGAATGGAAAAAGTATAATAGAATTCGCTTCATTTGAAGCAGTCTAATACATTACTGAAAATAAATGAGGAGCACCTGGGTGGCTCAGTTGGTTAAGCATCCAACTCAGATTTGAGCTCAGGTCATGATCTCACATTTCATAAAACAGAGCCCTGAGTCAGGCTACGTGCTGAGAGCAAGGAGGGGGCTTGGGATTCTCTACCTACCTCTGCCCCTCACTCACTCAATGTGCTCACTCGCTCTCTCTCAAAAAAATAAATGAAAGCCATTTATTTTATGTGCTTAAATGAGGCCTAGAAGAATGTTGCTAAGTAGTCCAGAAATAAAGTTCCATAGTTCTAATAGATGTATCAGAAGAGCTCACTGATAGTTGTGATTTTGGTGACATGAAAAGTACACTGGAAGTAGTTAGCATCAATGACCAAATTACCTGTAGGATTCCTTCTGGCACTCAGCTGTCTATAGTTATTTACTGTGACTCCTAGTGAGAAATTTTGATGTTTCTCTCAATTAAACTAAAATATTTAAGATTTTTATAATAGGAAGTAATATGGAACCATCTAGACTTACCATGGCACCTCTCAACCCCTTGCTTGTATGTCCTACTGCAACACCTAAACAAAGGCCCGTGGATACAACTCGTGTGTCTTTAGTCACATCCTACATCTCTTTGCTTAGCTATGTTGCCTGTCTTCCTTGGCTCTCAGACTTAAAGGTAAGATTTAAATGAAGTCTCAGTGTCAGACTTACGATCTTGGTTTTCAGAAATGACCAGGTGTCATTTGGCTACCAGTAACGATTGGATTAAAACCAAAACAATGGAGGGGCACCTGGGTGGCTCAGTCAGTTAAATCATCTGACTTTTGGTTTCAGCGCGGGTCATGATCTCACAGTTCATGGGTTCAAGCCCTGCATCAGGCTCTGTGCTGACAGTGCGGAGTCCTCTGTCTCTGCCCCTCCCCCACTCATGTTCTCGGCCTTTCTCAAAATAAATGGATAAACTTAAAATAATGGAAGAGACATTTTATGGGAGCCCCCAAGTAGAAGTAGTACTCCCTTCTAGAGGATTTTTTTTTTCTTTTTAATAAAGAAACACTCTTTGTTTTTAATGTTTTATTTATTTTTGAGACGGGGGAGACAGAGCATGAACAGGGGAGGATCAGAGAGAGGGAGACACAGAATCTGAAACAGGCTCCAGGCTCTGAGCTATCAGCACAGAGCCTGATGCGGGGCTGGAACTCACGAACCATGAGATCACGACCTGAGCTGAAGTCGGCCGCTTAACCAACTGAGAGCCACCCAGGCGCCCCTCTAGAGGATTTTTAAATATATCTTTTTAATTAAGTAGGCTCCATGCCCAACGTGGGGCTTGAACTCATGACCCTGATATCAAGAGTCGCATGCTCCACCGAATGAGCCAGCTGGACACCCCACCTCCTAAGGGATTTTAATGAAGAATCTACAAATTACTGGAGAGTCACATTTTTACTTGATGTCACCTTGTAATTCTAAATTCCTACAGTGTTTTTAAATGTCACAGAGTAAGAGACTGAACTTGACAACTAAATCCTAGCAGAGACTTAATTCTGGCTTTTCCATCTTCTCTAAAATTCCCATGTGGAATAGAGCACGGTTCTCTATTTCTCTACCTAGGAGGCAACTTTGCCTCCCACGGGACATTTAGCAATGTCTACAGACATTTTTGATTGTCATGACTTAGAAGTGCTTCTGACATTTAGTAGGTGGAAGCCAAGAATGCTGCTAAACATCCCATAGGGCACAACACAGGACAGTTCCCCACAACAAAGAATTATCTGGTTTTCCAAATACCACTATGCTAAGGTTGAGAAACCCTAGGAATAGACAGGTCACTTTTCCTTTAGTGGAATTAGCACAGCCTGCTTATTTCCAGAAGGTTTTGCTTCCTGAGTTCTAGCAAGTTTGAGGGAATTCATTTTCTTAGAGAAGCCTGAAAGGA